CTTAATCGAGTCAAAAGCTGGAAATTTATGGTTTATGGACGGTGAACAGAGCCGTCAATGTATAATTATTCTGTTTCTTCTTTTATGATTCTATGTTTAGGATTTAATAAAAGTTAGCATTGGGCTTGATAAATAAAATAGGATGACATCAATATCAGATACTTATCTGGTGTATTATGATTAGGAATGTAGAAAGAAAAATATGAATAAAAGTAGAAATATCTGCCAAAATGTCCTTTATAATTCAGATTTCAGATTTAATTTGACAACGAAACGGGATCCATAATTATTGAACTTTTCATCCCCTAGTTATGAGCGTGCTGAGTTTAGAAATCCTATAGTATGTTAAAAGACAGATTTTTCACTGTGAATGTGGATGCGTGTTGTCACTAGTAGTAGGTAATTCTTATTAACAAACTATTTATGAATCATGCTCCATATATAATTTACCCAACATGTGGCCCAGGTATGATTAGACCAAATTGCGAATCAAATAAATTCTAGTGCTTGAAAAAGTTGAAGAAGAATGGACATAGGGTTGTATTATACTGAAAGTGTTGGGGATTACAGACTTGATAGAATATTAAAGTTTGATGGAGGTGGCACAGGGCAAAAGATACTTGTTGAGTAACTTACTTTGACAGGGTCGGATGGATGCACGAGTCTAGACAATAATCATTCATTAGAAAGATTTTTGGGTTGAATAGTTTTGGAGAATTTTAGGGATTTCATTCGGCTCTTGTTATGTGGTCTGCAACATGTGACTGCAAGTGAATGAGCTTTAAGAAGAAAAGTGGTGGTTGAATCAAGACCTGGAGCTCTAAAAGTGCAAGAGTTCATTAAACTAGAGTGTGGATTCATAAATTGATGGAAGAATGAAATAATATGAAAGAAGTAGTTCTTTCGTATTATATGGAATGATCTTTCTTTTTAGAGTTTGTTTTTAAGATTTTGTTAGTTCTTGATATTTATATTTTAAGTGTTAATATTGTGAGTTCATTGTCTTCATGCTCCCCCTGCACTAACATTACACATTGTGCTCGAAGGGGACTAGTTCCTGCTCAAGCGTCCATCTTTGTAAGACTTGACAACAGACAATGCAACCTATTTTGTAGCTAAATAATCTGACTGAAGTTTAATTTTTCATGGGCTTCTTATGGTCTTATGTGAATCAAAGATCTTGTTTAGGAAAAAGTGAAGGGATCATTAGAATTTTTTTGGATTTAGAATATAAGCTTGGCAACGAAACAAAGTATTTTTGAGGCCAAAATTCGAGTTCAGGTTTGGGATTAATGGATGCATGACCCATGTTTTCTTGTGTTACAAACTTCTAATGTTAAATGCATGTATGGTGTAACCTCTATACACTAGTAAACTGGTACATTATCATGTATTGTCATCAGGTGACTTGGCTTTTATAAAAGAAATTTTATTATAATGTTTTTATTACATTTATATAGAAGTTATATTTTTCTCAGAGTTTCTGAATATCATGTCTCTCTTCTTTCTCATAAACATTTTGCATGTATAGAAGGAAGGATCGCCTACGAAGACGATGTGCATTGAGTTGGTTGCCAATCGTTTCCTGCGCAGGGTATTTACTTCAACTAATATTCTTATGAGAAAAAATAGCATGTCTGGTGGAAAACTTACTAGTTTCATTTGACATCTGTACTGCTTTAACTTGGCACTAGTATGTCATGTATGAAGGCCGCATGTTGAAATTTTTATGCAGTTTCAACAATGTGACTCAAGGTCATTTGATAGCTCGTGGACAAAAATCATGACTTACTCAACTTTTTCATTTACCAACTTGACACTATTATCACTCATAGTTTACATTGTTTTGACAAGCTATATATTATATGTGTGTGTGCTTGTGCACTTGCGTTCACAGTGCTGTAAATTGGCTTGTGCCACTGAATATCAAACTGTTTATTGCCCCTAGTTTAGTATTCAGTAGTCAATGACAAATTATTATTTTACTTTTCCCCTTCTTCATACTTCATTTCCCATTATTGGTACACGTAGTCTAGTCCATGTTAGTGTTGAAATCCACTATTTTTAGTTGCATTGGAACTTTATGATGTGAATTGTGGAAGAAGTAGATGATTATTCATTTGTAAGAGCATCTACAACGCAGCAATGTTCATTTTTGTACGTGGCTAGAAAAGTGAGGGTGGGAGAGAGAAGCATCTCCAATGGGGCTATGGATTGCACTAATTGTGGGTTCATATGTACAAGAGAGAGGATATTGAGAGAATGATGATAAATTCTAAATAATTAAATGGTCACGTCCTTCAATGAAGATAAGTTATAAAAATGAAATGTGGAGGGTGTGCTAGACATCCTCCACATTTTTCCTTGTTATGTTCTGGGGTGATGTGGCATACTTTTTAGTGCAATCCACAGCCCTATTGGAGATTCTCTCAGCTCATAACCATCAAAGCCCTTTTATCTAGTTAGTTTCCATCATTAAAACTTCTTATTTGGCCAAGGGCAAACCAGAGTGATGCTGGATGCTTTGAGACAATTATATGAGAAGGGGAAGGGGAGAGAAGAAGAGAAAGAAAGAAGGGGGGGGGGGGGGGGGGGGG